TCTATATAATATAATTTAAATATTATCGGATAAATAATTGACAGATAAAAAATCAATATAATGCGTAATTATATATTATTATAATTTTATAATATTATATTAATTTATATATTAATATAATTATTATATGCATTAATATGATTAGCAATGCTATAGATTTAGGATACCTTCGGGACCCGTCTTGAAACACGGACCAAGGAGTCTAACATGTGTGCAAGTCATTAGAATTTATTTTAAATAAAATCTAAAGGCGTAATTAACTTAACTGTTAATATGGGATTAAATTATATATATAATTTTATATATATAATATCAATCCTGGGGCGTTCTATATAGTTATGTATATAAATAATTTTTAAATTATTTTTTATACCTCTAACTAGAACGTACCTTGAGCATATATGCTGTGACCCGAAAGATGGTGAACTATACCTGATCAGGTAGAAGTCAGGGGAAACCCTGATGGAAGACCGAAACAGTTCTGACGTGCAAATCGATTGTCAGAATTGGGTATAGGGGCGAAAGACCTATCGAACTATCTAGTAGCTGGTTCCCACCGAAGTTTCCCTCAGGATAGCTGTGCATAAAAATATTATATAAAATAATCTTATCTGGTAAAGCGAATGATTAGAGGCCTTAGGGCCGAAACGACCTTAACCTATTCTCAAACTTTAAATGGGTAAGAACCTAAACTTTCTTGAATGAAGTTTTAGGTTATGATATATTGTGCCCAGTGGGCCACTTTTGGTAAGCAGAACTGGCGCTGTGGGATGAACCAAACGTGACGTTACGGTGCCTAAATTAACAACTCATGCAGATACCATGAAAGGCGTTTGCTTGCTTAAAACAGCAGGACGGTGGACATGGAAGTCGTAATCCGCTAAGGAGTGTGTAACAACTCACCTGCCGAAGCAACTAGCCCTTAAAATGGATGGCGCTTAAGTTGTATACCTATACGTCACTGTTAATGTAAATGATTTATATTACATTATTAATGTATATAAATTTAGAAACATTAACAAGTAGGTGGGTACAATGGTAGCGTAGAAGCATCTTCCGTAAGGATGTGTGGAGCTGCCATTGGTACAGATCTTGGTGGTAGTAGCAAATAATCGAATGAGACCTTGGAGGACTGAAGTGGAGAAGGGTTTCGTGTGAACAGTGGTTGATCACGAGTTAGTCGGTCCTAAGCTTAAGGCGAAAGCCGAACAAAATTTAAGGTTTTATCCCCATTGATAATATAAAATACCTTAAATTAAATAAGCGAAAGGGAATACGGTTCAATTCCGTAACCTGTTGAGTATTACGTTTGTAATAAATATGGTCATTATGATCATCCTGGTAACAGAAACAATCATAGAGAAGCCGTCGAGAGGTATCGGAAGAGTTTTCTTTTCTGTTTTATAGTTGTACTACCATGGAAATCTTTCGAAGAGAGATATGGTAGATGAACTAGAAGAGCATGGCATTTACTGCTGTGTCGATATTTCTCCTCGGACCTTGAAAATCTATGATTGGGCCACGCAAACTTCTCAACAGGCCGTACCAATATCCGCAGCTGGTCTCCAAGGTGAAGAGTCTCTAGTCGATAGAATAATGTAGGTAAGGGAAGTCGGCAAATTAGATCCGTAACTTCGGGATAAGGATTGGCTCTGAAGATTGAGATAATCGGGCTTGAATGGGAAACAATAAAGTGGTGCATGTACTCGTTCTGGGTAAATAGAATTTATATAAAATTTATTTTATAATATTTTTGTTCCCCGGATAGAAGCTACATAACCAGTTGTGGAACATTCTTGCTAATAATATACTGGTAATATAATTTTTTAATTATATTATCATATATTTTATAACGGTTATCAATTAACAATCAATTCAGAACTGGCACGGACTTGGGGAATCCGACTGTCTAATTAAAACAAAGCATTGTGATGGCCCTAACGGGTGTTGACACAATGTGATTTCTGCCCAGTGCTATGAATGTCAAAGTGAAGAAATTCATTTAAGCGCTGGTTAACGGCGGGAGTAACTATGACTCTCTTAAGGTAGCCAAATGCCTCGTCATCTAATTAGTGACGCGCATGAATGGATTAACGAGATTCCTACTGTCCCTATCTACTATCTAGCGAAACCACAGCCAAGGGAACGGGCTTGAATAATTAGCGGGGAAAGAAGACCCTGTTGAGCTTGACTCTAGTCTGGTAGTGTAAGGAGACATAAGAGGTGTAGCATAAGTGGGAGATATAATATTTCGGTATTATATCAATAATGAAATACCACTACTCTTATTGTTTCCTTACTTACTTGATAAAATGGAACGTGTATCATTTACTTAGCCATTACACGGATATATATCCATTATATATTTTATGGTATTTTGTTTTGATGCAAGTTTTCTTGATAAAAGTACAATGAGTTTGTTATATACACCAAACATATTTATATAAAATGATTTTGGTATAAAAAATAATTATTTTTAATTATTTTCTTATACTTATAATCAAAGTAATATAATATGGTATGACTCTTTCACTCAGGTATGATCCAATTCAAGGACATTTCCAGGTGGGGAGTTTGACTGGGGCGGTACATCTTTCAAATAATAACGAAGGTGTCCCAAGGCCAGCTCAGTGCGGACAGAAACCACACGTAGAGCAAAAGGGCAAATGCTGACTTGATCTCGATGTTCAGTACACATAGAGACAGCAAAAGCTCGGCCTATCGATCCTTTTGGTTTAAGGAGTTTTTAACAAGAGGTGTCAGAAAAGTTACCACAGGGATAACTGGCTTGTGGCAGCCAAGCGTTCATAGCGACGTTGCTCTTTGATCCTTCGATGTCGGCTCTTCCTATCATTGTGAAGCAAAATTCACCAAGCGTTGGATTGTTCACCCATTCAAGGGAACGTGAGCTGGGTTTAGACCGTCGTGAGGACAGGTTAGTTTTACCCTACTGATGACAATATATTATTGTGACAGCATTCTGCGTAGTACGAGAGGAACCGCAGGTACGGACCAATGGCACAATACTTGTTCGAGCGAACAGTGGTATGACGCTACGTCCGTTGGATTATGCCTGAACGCCTCTAAGGTCGTATCCGTGCTGGACTACAATAATAATAATGGGGCGACTGTATTGTATAGCAATAAACCATTTAAAGTTATTATCTTTATGATAATAACGATAATGGATTATGTGATGCTAATGTTATGTAAAATATAGTTACAGAGTATGTATACATGGTATCTTCTTGACGGATAACTAGTTTTGCATTTAAACATTATTAAATACGATGACAGTGCCTAGAATCAATTGTAAACGACTTTGGTAACGGGCAAGGTGTTGTAAGTGGTTGAGCAGCTGCCATACTGCGATCCACTGAAGCTTATCCTTTGCTTGAAGATTCGAAAAATTTATTTTATTTTTCGATTCTTCTTATTATTCCACATATTATTATCTCATGTAGAGTAGTGATATTGTGTGGGATATGGGGTCAGGTCTGCTCTGGTCTGGTCTAGTCTAGTCTAGATTTAGTCTAGTCTGGTCTAGTCTGATCTAGTATTGTATGGCCTGATCTGGTTTGGGTGATGGTCTTTATAGCCCTTATACATTCTTTATTATACATTACTAACAAGGTATGTATTATAAAATTGTATATGGGTATATAATAGTGGCGATGGTGGTAGCCACTAGTAGTACATTCTTATTACTTACTATAAAGTATTAAGTATGTATTATAAAATTGTATATGGGTATAATAGTGGCGATGGCGGTAGCCACTATTAGTACATTCTTATTACTTACTATAAAGTATTAAGTATGAATTATAAAATAGTATATGGGTATAATAGTGGCGATGGCGGTAGCCACTATTAGTACATTCTTAATTACTTACTATAAAGTATTAAGTATGAATTATAAAATAGTATATGGGTATAATAGTGGCGATGGCGGTAGCCACTATTAGTACATTCTTATTACTTACTATAAAGTATTAAGTATGAATTATAAAATAGTATATGGGTAATAATAGTGGCGATGGCGGTAGCCACTATTAGTACATTCTTATTACTTACTATAAAGTATTAAGTATGAATTATAAAATAGTATATGGGTATAATAGTGGCGATGGCGGTAGCCACTATTAGTACATTCTTATTACTTACTATAAAGTATTAAGTATGAATTATAAAATAGTATATGGGTATAATAGTGGCGATGGCGGTAGCCACTATTAGTACATTCTTATTACTTACTATAAAGTATTAAGTATGAATTATAAAATAGTATATGGGTATAATAGTGGCGATGGCGGTAGCCACTATTAGTACATTCTTATTACTTACTATAAAGTATTAAGTATGAATTATAAAATAGTATATGGGTATAATAGTGGCGATGGCGGTAGCCACTATTAGTACATTCTTATTACTTACTATAAAGTATTAAGTTATGAATTATAAAATAGTATATGGGTATAATAGTGGCGATGGCGGGTAGCCACTATTAGTACATTCTTATTACTTACTATAAAGTATTAAGTATGAATTATAAAATAGTATATGGGTATAATAGTGGCGATGGCGGTAGCCACTATTAGTACATTCTTATTACTTACTATAAAGTATTAAGTATATATTATAAAATTGTATATGAGTATAATAGTGGCGATGGCGGTAGCCACTATTAGTTCATTCTTATTACTTACTATAAAGTATTAAGTATGTATTATAAAATTGTATATGGGTATAATAGTGGCGATGGCGGTAGCCACTATTATTACATTCTTATTACTTACTATAAGTATATTAAGTGTGTATTATAAAATTGCATATGAGTATTAATAGTGGCGTTGGTACTTAAGTAGTACATTCTTATTATACTTACCTATATATAAGTATGTATTATAGGAATGGTGATAAACATTTGCTATTGAAGGCTTGTAATATTGATTGGTAGGTGGTGGTGGTGGTTGTTAAGATAGGTTAAGTATATTCTTACTATAAATACTTCAAATAAGTATTTTCTTAATGTATTACTGCATGAATAATGATTTAAGTAATACTTATTATTATATATCAATACAGTGGCAGGTATTGGATATGGGAATAACATAGACCTGAACGAGACATATGTTATGCTCGACAGGCAATAATTACTTTTCATAAGTGAAAAGTAACCTGGGTTGGTAAGCATGTTATGCCCACCCGATGAAAAAATTTTTTTCAGCCTGGTTTGATATTTACCAATGGCAATATAAGCCTGATCGGGACATATGTTATGCTCGACAGGCAATAATTACTTTTCATGAATGAAAAGTAACCTGAGTTGGTAAACATGTTATGCCCACCCGATGAAAAAAAATTTTTTCAGCCTGGTTTGATATTTATCAAAGGCAAAATAAGCCTGATCGGGACATATGTTATGCTCGACAGGCAATAATTACTTTTCATGAATGAAAAGTAACCTGGGTTGGTAAGCATGTTATGCCCACCCGATGAAAAAATTTTTTTCAGCCTGGTTTGATATTTATCAAAGGCAAAATAAGCCTGATCGGGACATATGTTATGCTCGACAGGCAATAATTATTTTTCATGAATGAAAAGTAACCTGGGTTGGTAAACATGTTATGCCACCCGATGAAAAAATTTTTTTCAGCCTGGTTTGATATTTATCAAAGGCAAAATAAGCCTGATCGGGACATATGTTATGCTCGACAGGCAATAATTACTTTTCATGAATGAAAAGTAACCTGGGTTGGTAAACATGTTATGCCCACCCGATGAAAAAATTTTTTTCAGCCTGGTTTGATATTTATCAAAGGCAAAATAAGCCTGATCGGGACATATGTTATGCTCGACAGGCAATAATTACTTTTCATGAATGAAAAGTAACCTGGGTTGGTAAACATGTTATGCCCACCCGATGAAAAAATTTTTTTCAGCCTGGTTTGATATTTACCAATGGCAATATAAGCCTGATCGGGACATATGTTATGCTCGACAGGCAATAATTACTTTTCATGAATGAAAAGTAACCTGAGTTGGTAAACATGTTATGCCCACCCGATGAAAAAAATTTTTTCAGCCTGGTTTGATATTTATCAGAAGGCAAAATAAGCCTGATCGGGACATATGTTATGCTCGACAGGCAATAATTACTTTTCATGAATGAAAAGTAACCTGGGTTGGTAAGCATGTTATGCCCACCCATGAAAAAATTTTTTTCAGCCTGGTTTGATATTTATCAAAGGCAAAATAAGCCTGATCGGGACATATGTTATGCTCGACAGGCAATAATTATTTTTCATGAATGAAAAGTAACCTGGGTTGGTAAACATGTTATGCCCACCCGATGAAAAAATTTTTTTCAGCCTGGTTTGATATTTACCAATGGCAATATAAGCCTTATCGGGACAAATGTTATGCTCGACAGGCAATAATTACTTTTCATGAATGAAAAGTAACCTGGGTTGGTAGGCATGTTATGCCCACCCGATGAAAAAATTTTTTCAGCCTGGTTTGATATTTATCAAAGGCAAAATAAGCCTGATCGGGACATATGTTATGCTCGACAGGCAATAATTACTTTTCATGAATGAAAAGTAACCTGGGTTGGTAACATGTTATGCCCACCCGATGAAAGAATTTTTTTCAGCCTGGTTTGATATTTACCAATGGCAATATAAGCCTTATCGGGACATATGTTATGCTCGACAGGCAATAATTACTTTTCATGAATGAAAAGTAACCTGGGTTGGTAAACATGTTATGCCCACCCGATGAAAAAATTTTTTTCAGCCTGGTTTGATATTTACCAATGGCAATATAAGCCTGATCGGGACATATGTTATGCTCGACAGGCAATAATTACTTTTCATGAATGAAAAGTAACCTGGGTTGGAAACATGTTATGCCCACCCCGATGAAAAAAATTTTTTCAGCCTGGTTTGATATTTATCAAAGGCAAAATAAGCCTGATCGGGACATATGTTATGCTCGACAGGCAATAATTACTTTTCATGAATGAAAAGTAACCTGGGTTGGTAAACATGTTATGCCCACCCGATGAAAAAATTTTTTCAGCCTGGTTTGATATTTATCAAAGGCAAAATAAGCCTGATCGGGACATATGTTATGCTCGTCAGGCAATAATTACTTTTCATGATTGAAAAGTAACCTGGGTTGGTAAGCATGTTATGCCCACCCGATGAAAAATTTTTTTCAGCCTGGTTTGATATTTATCAAAGGCAAAATAAGCCTGATCGGGACATATGTTATGCTCGACAGGCAATAATTACTTTTCATGAATGAAAAGTAACCTGGGTTGGTAAGCATGTTATGCCCACCCGATGAAAAAATTTTTTCAGCCTGGTTTGATATTTATCAAGGCAAAATAAGCCTGATCGGGACATATGTTATGCTCGACAGGCAATAATTACTTTTCATGAATGAAAAGTAACCTAAATTGGTAAACAAATTATGATTTAAGTAATGCTTATTATAATAAATATATCAATACAATACAGGTATTGGATATGGGAAGCATATTTATTGATTATTAAAATTTTATGTGTAAATCTATGTATGACCACTTTTTGATTCAAACGTACATTTTTTAATTACATTTTTTTTCATGAATGAAATTGGGCCTGGTTTGATAAACATGTTATGCTCGGCCCGATGAAAAAATTTTTTTTAAAAAAAATTTTTTTTAGCCTGATTTGATATTTATCAAAGGCAAAATAGACTTAACGAGACATATGTTGTTATGCTCGGCAGGCAATAATTATTTTTCATGAGTGAAAGGTAACCTGGGTTGGTAAGCATGTTATGCCCACCCGATGAAAAAATTTTTTTCAGCCTGGTTTGATATTTATCAAAGGCAAAATAGGCCTGATCGGACATATGTTATGCTCGACAGGCAATAATACTTTTCATGAGTGATAAGTAACCTGGGTTGGTAAACATGTTATGCCCACCCGATGAAAAAATTTTTTTCAGCTGGTTTGATATTATCAATGGCAAAATAAACCTGATCGGGACATATGTTATGCTCGACAGGCAATAATTACTTTTCATGAGTGTTAAGTAACCTGGGTTGGTAAACATGTAATGAAAAATAGGTCAAATCGAGACATTATGTTGGTTATGCTCGACAATCAATAATATTTTTATCATAGTAGGTCAACGAGTATATATTTATTATATGCTCATATATTGATATACGTGTACAAAAATGTGGTGGTACGGATAAGCGATATCAGAAGTTGACAAATATACTATGAAGGTTATAATATAAAAATTATAATTGTGTAAAAATTCATATATCTAATTTAATATTAGGATAAGATTGAATAAATGATTAAATATTAATCATTGGAAGAAAGGTAATGAAATAAAACAAAA